AGTTGATAATCCTTGAAACTGGGGGAGGGAAAAATAGTGGTCATTTATACTATTTTCTCTACTTTTGTATATCTTTTAAACTTTCATATTGAAAAAAAAAAAGAATGAATACATAATTTGGAAGTGGTGAGTCAAACACAGCTAAACCCTGAATGCATGTTGGTGACTCGTTCAAACCCAAATGCCATAGATTACTGTGACCTTGGTCATTTCAAATTATTTCCCTGCTCTCTCAGCAGACCAAGCCAATGCCAGTGCAGCCAACTTTGTAAAACATCAGAATGTTCTCACAACTTTTGTAAAGGTAAAATACCTTTTGCCAGTCTTAACTTTCTAAGGTTCCCTTACATCTGTTTGCCCAAATAAAAGTCACAAATAATTTTCCAAAATGGCCAAAGGATGAAGTTGAAAACAACAGCCGTTTCTCAAAGGTAGGTTTTGTTGAGTAATGGTCCATTTCCTTTGCCCACATTTTCAGTCCTGCTGCAGGAGACAGTTCTGTGAGCCACAGCGGCTTTAGGTTCAAACATGGTTGGTTGGCAGCACCCCACCCTGGCCTTGGAAGAAAACCCAATCAGTGAAAGAAACAACATTCACGGGACAGCTTCCAGGCTCCATCGGGGTTCCTTGGGGAACTGTGTGCTGCTGTCTTCAGGTGATGGCCGTGGCTTCTCAGGGCGCTTTACCTAGAAGGACATTAGAATGAAGTCTGGCCATCTATCTGTAAGGGAATTGCTTCTGTGGCGCTTTACGGTTTACAAAGGTAGTTTCATGTTTCTCAGCAATCCCCTCACCCACCCTACGGGACAAGCAGCATCATTCTCAAGCCTATTTTACTCATCAGAAAATGGAGGCCCCAAGAGGCTAAGCGACTTTTGGAGACCACACAGCGAATATAGGGCAGAGTTGGTCCTAAACGGAAATCTTCCGACTCTCAATCATCTATCTTGTGTCTATACTATGCTGGATCTATGTCTATCTTTGTGAACTGCATCATGGCCCCAGCAGACCTAGGTAAGAAATTGTTTATCAAGAAGGTTTTTGGTACAAGAGCCATTTAGAGAAGTCAAACTTCTTAGAGTAACCTCTCCAGATAATGATCTTTGTCTTATTGCCTAGTTCTTCAGGAACCAGTATATCTGTGGGGTAGCTTTATTCAGGTCCCTCTACTTTCATTCAACATTCAAGCAGCAAATAGTTATGGACACCCACTCTGTGCCCAGCCTGTGCTGGTGCCAGGCATTCTAGATGCCTCGGTCCTTTTCCTGCCCTTGAGGGCGTCACATCCTACTGAGGAGTCGACATATTACCTCTAACTCTACATAATGTGCTGAGTGCTCTATCAAGACACATGCAAGGTGTCAGGCAGAGGTTTGAGCAAGGTACTCAGATGGCACAATCCTCCCAGGTGAGTCAGAAAGGTTTCCTCGAAGAGGTGACATTCAAGCCAGGCTTTATACAATGAGTAGAATTGGGACAGATTGAGAAGACAAACTTCTTAAGGATTCAAGTTGCATACAGTCTCTCTTAACTTGCCATCTCCCATGTGCCAGGGGCCTACCGTGGCCTTATTATTTCTAGAATTGTCCCCAAATTCCTCCCACCTACTCACACCCTGAAACTGTCTGAAAGGTCTTGTAGATGATCCACATTTTAGCACAGCTAAACCACATCTGTTTCTAATCAGTCAAGATTAATGAGTAATGGCCCCAGCCCTACCAAGTAGTGCCCACAATTGGTTGGCCACAGCAAATGTCCCAAGCAAGCATATATTTGCTTTGGAATCAAACACCTCCCAGACTTGTTTGTATGTGGGTTGGACTATCAAGGGTCTGTGCCTCCTAATACTTAAAACAACCTACAGTTCCCCAGGCAGGAAGGGCACCACATGGAAAAATAACAGCAAGTGGGACGCACAAATCTAGCAGTTACCTGCAAGACCAAAAATCCATTTTGTAGTGAGCACTTTTGCCTGAGAGGAATATCATAAATAATTGCTCTGGTTTTGAATCACCTTCAGTCTCAGCAGGCATTTCTTAAGTGCTCCTCAGAAACTTGGGAAATGGATCCCGAACTAAGAAAAAGTTGAATTGGCTCTGGATTTCTTAGGGAAACAATCAGTGTCAATGCACAACAAAATGTAAGTAGGTGATTTCATCGGGAAATGAGATAAAAATCAATGCAGGGAAGTTAGTGGCATCAACGAGGTTGGTCTTACCTCGGCTACAAATCTAAAAAATTGAAGTGTGGCAGGGAAGAGACCCAGAGAATCTAGACTGTTTCCGCTCTCTTCTAGGGTGGCGTGCATGAATATTTCATGTAGCCAATGACCCACCAGTTCTAAAGTCTTTTATTATACACACACATTGCAGAAAAGTTAGAAAATGCAAATAAGGATAAAAAAAAATTACTCCTATGGCCATGACCCAGAGATGACACTGTTAATGCCTTGGTGAAGACCTGTCCAGATTGTTTTCTATCAACAGCAAAATTACATAAAATTTTATCCCCCCCCCCCCAAGAATATCAGATCATACCTTACATCCTGTTTGGAAACCTGGCTTTCTTCATTTGGTCTCTAGAAACTGTCTTTTTTTTTTTTTAAGATTTTTTTTTTTAATTGGGAAATTGGGGGATGAGAAAGGCACTGGGGAATTGGGGGAAGGGGAACAGACAAGTTGCTGTTGTTTTTGTTCTTCAGTCTAGTTGTGGAGGACGTTGCTTCACTGGCCCAAGTTGGCACCATCATTGCGCTCTTCCCGGGTGAGGTAGATCAGTCACCGGCTTTTGGATGGCCGCTCACTGCGGCTGCTGGCCGCTCACGCTGGCTGCTGGCTACACACGGTAGCCCATGGCAACCCACTGCCACAGGGGCTGCAGCCTACACCGTCGCCGGCGACTCACGGCAGCCCAGCTCCAGGTTGAGCTGTTGTTCAGCATCTTAGCTGTGGAGGGCAGTGTCACTGGCCCTCATATGTGGGATCCAAACTGGGGCCCTCTGGCGTCCCAAGCCAGCTCTTAATCAACGCACCACTCGGCTGGCCCTAGAAATTGTTTTTCCATGTCAAGTAATCTTTTTTACATATATATATATATATATATATATATATATATATAAATATATATAATTTTAAAGATTTCATTGGGGAATTGGGTGAGGGAACAGTTTCGGGGAATCGGGGAAGGGGAACAGACAAATTGCTGTCCTTTTGTTCTTCAGTCTAGTTGTGGAGGACTTCGCTTGACTGGCCCACGTTGGTATTGTGATCATTGCGCTCTTCCCAGCTGAGGCAGATTGGTCACCGGCCATTGGACAGCCGCTCACGGCAACTCACGGTAGCTCACGGCAGCCTACTACAGCCCCGCTGCAGCCTACGCCATCGCCGGTGACTCACGGCAGCCCAGCTCCAGGTTGAGCTGTTGTTCACCATCTTAGCTGTAGAGGGCGCAGCATCACTGGCCCATGTGGGATCCGAACCAGCAGCCCTGATGCTCAGAGCTCACGCTCCTAAGCCAACTCTTAACCAACGAGCCACTTGGCTGGCCCAACTTCTTAACATTTTTAATGGCTGCACTTTCTTCTGTGAGTGTGTACTAACATTTAATCATTCTGCTATCATTAGCATTCATTTCTGGGTTTTTTGCTATTATAAAAATGCTGTAATGAACTCCCTTTTGCTAAGTCTTTGCACAACTAGAAGGCCGCTTCTAAATACTACATGCTGCATCGTGGGTAGCATGTGGCATTCAAGAGGACACCTCCCTGTTGACGTTCCAAGGCCTCACTGCTAGAGGGGGCCCCTCCACCAATCTCCAGGAATCGGAGTAGCCCCAGAGTAACCCAATTTGGATGTACTCTGTGTCCTGACTGTGCCTTATTTAGGACATCACAGAAATCACTGAAAAAGGAAGACGGTTAAGCTAAATCCCGGAACTTTTCCCAAATCTGTTTGTCATAAAGTTGAAGAGTAAACATTTTCCAGTATTTATTAGCACCACATTTGCAGAACCAGTTGCCTGCAGGCTCTCTGTCTAGCAGAATTAAGGTTTGTTGTGGGAAAGGATAAAGCGGAACCTTGTAAAACAGTGAAGATCTTTTAGTAACTGAAATGAGGCCTACAGTGAAGGCAAACCAGATCCAGAACACAGCTAATAACCTTTATTCTTTCTGTTGTATTTTTACTTTACATTCCCCGAGACTTTTTTACTTCCTTAAAATATGGATTCAAGAGACAGTCCATTTAAATCTTTTTATTAGTTATTGTCACTGCCCCCTCACTGTGCCTGGAATTTTAAAATATATATCCTTAGGGTCTGAATGTTTGGGGATGAGATTTCCGTTTTGATGTTTTTATCCTTCTTCAGAAAAGCCAATTACAACATGTAATTAAGCACTTCCAGATTTCTAAGTTAAAAGAATCCAGTCTTCTTTTCTCTAAACAGTTAGAGACAGAGAGTAGAATCTTAAAAGGCTACAATCCACATTTTAAAATCCCGCTGAAAACAGACTACTTACTACCTTGGATTCTGGGAGAAATCCATCCCTCAACTGGAATGGCTCCCACAGAATCCGCAATACACAGTACCCAGCAGATGGGTAATTCCTAAGACGATTCTGTAACTCCTAACACACCCTAACAGCACCCTGTTCTACAGTATCCCAACTGTTGGCCAACCCAGGCTGAGGAGGCTCTTCAAACAAGATCAGTTCTTATGTGAAAGGTGCCTTTTGGGAACTTTGGAAAGATTCCATTTTATTCTCCATCGACACTCAGTTCTCTGGGTGACTTTATACTCAACACATTCTCCTTGAAATCAGTAAACATTTCAGTAAGTTGTGTTCTTGGATTTCCCCTGAAACTAGTCTGACAAAAAATTCTATATGGAGATGAGTTTTAATGCTCTTTTAAAAAGTGTAGTAAGTCTACTAAGAACTGCCAGGATGAGTATACAGAGGCAAGACCTTGTCGGGTGCTGAGACAGACATTAAAACAATGGCACCATGATTAAATAAGTTTTTATTGTCACATTTAACTGCTTTGTCCAATATACACTGTAGGTTTCAGTATGGCATAAAAATAAAAATATATTCCTGAATGTCAAAATATGAACAGAGATGGTGATGGCACTTAAAAAAAAAAATTCACAATGGTGGTGAAGCTGCTAGTAGGTAGCTGAGAAAACTGGAACACATCTGCAGATCAAGTGGTCTGCAACATTTCAAACCAAATGGCAGTAGTATAAGGCCAACAAAACTGGGAGAGGAGTGAAATACGGACCCCACAGAGTGAATATGGAAAGAACGGCAGTTTCAGCATCTCGTTTTTCAGCCCATGTTATATTGTCTAGTTTAGCACTGGAATTGGAGCTCAGTGAGTAAAGTTCTCTCCCATAAAATGAAACCACTTTTCAGAACCTGGTGTAAGCCTCTCTGACAACTTCCTTATTCTTCCCAGTTTTCACTAGTCCAAAGGAAAGGCCGTTCTATTTCAAAGCACTAACCTTGTGGGCTGACCTCCACATAAACTGTCAGTCTTGTCACTTCCAAACCAACAGCCTAAAATGCTCATGGAAGTCTTTAGTGGTTTCACACATTCTGGGGAAAACTAGAAAACAAGCAATAATTAAATAAGAATATAAGTGTATCCCAACAGGAAATTTCTACACATTCCACAATTACCCTCCAAATGGCAACTTAAAAAAAAAAAAAAAAAGGTATGGTTACTCAGATTGAAAATGAATCTTTATTCACCAAGATCCTCAATCAGCTTATGAAATGTCTTTCCTCCACAAATAAAACTAACACTAGGATTTGTCAGAAGAGCTGAATGAGTTATATCCCTTACGCATGAACTCAACTAAAGCCCTTATCTGGAGTCTGTTCGTCATAAAACTCGGGCCTGGAACGTTAACGCCTTTCGTTACCCACTGCTGTGTGTCCTTCACTTCAGACTCCAGAGTAGAGACCATAAATGTGGCTAGTGCAACACAGCAGTCACTGCAATTCCACAAAAGAAAAATAAGTAATTTATTTTATGACATACTTATTTGGATGATTACTTACTGGTAATTAGTAGTTCTACATTTTTTCTTTTTTTAAAGGCAACCATTTTAAGTGACAATACATATCAGGCTAGTAGAAAAAAGTTGAAACAAGGCCCTCTCTTTTGATCTCACAAAGTCATGCAGACAAGAGAAGGTACATCCAATTTGTTCCAATCAGGCTTCTTGGAATTATCAAAATTTCTTTTCTGGCAAAGATGAATTTGGCTCATCATAGAAAGAATGTTCTTTGAAGGCTGCTGCTAAACTTGTTTCCCTTTGAAAAAGTAAATTTCAAGGCATGATAGTGCAAGAGGTAAGTTTTGATTTCTAGAACATTTATAGACTAATTGTGCTTAGTCTCTATTTCCAATTTATTTTAAAGAACAGAAACTACTTTGATAAGTTTCACTTTGCCTAAATTTACCAGTACATCCATGAATCGCACCAGAATTAGGACAATTTGATTATCTTAATGATTCTGTCGTGACACCTGCCACCGCGTCTGCAGGTGAGGCCCCAGGGATGAGGCCCCTCCAGGTTCTGTGCCCAAGGGCTCTCTTGGGAGCCCCGGGGTCTGAGAAAGCAGTTCTCCCCCCCGGAATAAGTCCTCAAAAAACTCTCTCAATAAGTGATTAAGAAAACAGTGCTAAGTGGAGAGTTTCTTTTGTTTAGTTAAATCTGGGAGGTCTGAGTGTTCCTGGAGCCCCCATCGGGATGTGTCATGGGTCGAGAATCTCTTGAATGTGAGTATTCATTATTAGAGGGCTCTGTGGGGTCGATCAAATTTTCATAATCACTGTCGTCTGATTCCTCAACACTGTCTCCAGCTGCTCTCTGGGAAGAAGGAAGGTCTCCACTTCCAGGATACTTCTGTCCGGCGCTGCTGGAAGCATAATTGGAAGAGCCCACAGCTTGAGGTCGAGGCATAAAGACACTAGTTTCCATGCGAGAATGGCTCAGAGTACTTTCCTGATTGTTTGGGTGAAAATCAGAATAAGGGGGGGGAGGGTCAGAGGCCTCTGCGTCTCCAAGTGAACTTCTACCTTCCGCTGCAAACCCGGAATAGGGCGTCCGAGGGCTGAACGCTGTGTCCAGGCTTTCAGACGGCATCTGCCTGCTTACCGTCGCCTGCTGCAATCCTAGGTGAAAACAGGAAGAAAACTGTAACTCTTTCCATATTTTCCCCGCTGTGCATCTCAAGGCTTTAAACAGTTCACCTGACTGTTCTGGAAAATAGCCATCAAGCAGTGAAATTGATTGTTAATATTAACTGTTTTATATTAGCATAGTACTTTATAATTTACAAAATATTTTTCTACACATTCATTTAAGCGTCAAAACAGCCCTCTGAAGTATTATTGTCATTATTAATATTGTTTCCATTACACAGGCAAAGAAGCCAGAGTTCAAAAAGGTGAAGTGACGTCACGAAGGAAGCAAGAAGGAGGGGGCCTGGCATTCGAAAGGGTAGGGCTTTGCTCTCTGAATTCTGTGCGACTTCCTCCACCTGCTGCTGACTGTGCTCAAACTCTGTGGGGGTGGAAGGACGAAATACACACTCCTTACCATTTTTGGAAGTCATTTGAACGTGGGTTTTTTCCTTGGCAAACCTCAATCAAAAAACATACTTCTTGGGCCAGCCGGGTGGCTCAGTCGGTTAAGAGGTGAGCTCTGAGCAACAGGGTTGCCTGTTCAATTCCCACATGTGCCAGTGAGCTGTGCCCGAGCTGAGCTGCCACTGAGCTGCCAACAGGCAGCCGGATGGCTCAGCTGGTGAGAGCACGTGCTCCTAACAACAACGTTTCCGGTTCGACTCCCACATGGGATGTTGGGCTGTGCCCCCCGCAACTAAATTAAAAGCGGTGACTAGAGTTGGAACTGAGCTGCGCCCTCCACATCTAAGATTGAAGGACAACAACTTGACTTGGAGCTGATGGGTCCTGGAAAAACACAATATTCCCCTTCCCCAATTCCCTAACACTGTTCCCTTCCCCAATTCCCCAATAAAATCTTTAAACACACACACTTCTTTACAACCACCTGCGACAGTACACACATACACCTCTTTCTCCTTGAAGGTTTAAGAGCCCTTTGTTAGGTGGCCAGTTTTTCCAGGTACTAGGCCGTAATTTTACCACATTTTTATGAAAATGCTGTGAAACAGCCCATATCTATGAGTCCACAGCCTTTCAGTGCTTTTAAAGGACATTTTCATATTCTTACAAAATTCAGAAAAGAAAAAAAAGAAATTAAAACCAGCCCCCAATTCTATCACCCAGATAACACTGTTAGAATTTTGGTGAAAAGAGCACAAGATTTGGAGTTAAAAAACATAAACTTCAGATGTCAGGCCCCCCACTTCTTTCCTGAACTCCACTTTTATTATTCGGCCTTGTGTATGTGTTGTGTGTGTGTGTGTGTGTGTGTGTGTGTGTGTGTGTGTGTGTGTGTGTTTTAAACACATCTGAGATCATGTTTATACTATTTCATATCCTAGTGCTTTCACTTAAGATTACACATTGGGCGTTATCCCATGTCATTAAAAATTCACTTAAATAGTTGTACAATAGCCTACCATACAGATATGCCAAAATTCAATCAACTGTTTTAATCGCTTGTTTCCAAGATTTTAGGATTATAAGGTTGTGATTAATATTCTTGTGCATAAATCGGTGTCTGCATTTCTTATTGTTTCTAGAAAACTATAACAGTAGAAATGAATGAAACATCATTTACCTGGAAACATAAATTCCCTTTTAATTGGTTTGCAAATATTCTTATTAAATTAGAAAAGGTTAGCTACACCCTTGTCTCTTTTACTCTTGATATTATTTGCCATACATGTTATAAAGTTTACTTACATGTGTTAAATCAGGTGGCATCATAGCAAACCTATCTGTCACCATGCTTAACAGATTCTTGGGCCTAATTTTCATTCAGCCAGCTGACTCCTTAGCTTAATGGTACCTATTCATCCGCAGCTACCAATGAACAGGCATCTAAAGCCTTTGTTGTGACCCTGACTATGAATCAAATATAAAGTTAAAGGAATTTTAAGTGGCGCCTTGATGTGGCTGAATGAACACAGGCCTCAGGCCCTACGTGCTAGGCAGGCCCAGGGCAGCTTAGAAACATCACGTCCACTGTAAGTGGATCTTAGCAGTCAACATGTGCCCAAGTCTGCACCAACCTCTTCTTAGGAGTTATTCTCACTTGCTTCAGCCTTTCTACCGTGGGTCTTCTTTGTCTCCCAGTTTCAGAGACTTGAGAAAGATACCGCGAAAAACAGAACCTCTCTTCTGGAAAAAAGCGTGATGACAAGTGGATGCCCACTCCCAACCGGCCTAACTTAGGGCTTAACGAGTGTGGAAACATTCATCTAGTTTATCGTGTAATTTGATGTTTAAAACCAGACATTCCCCTGATGCTAAATGGTAAAAGTAATAGAAAACTCACTTCTTTCTTGTTCCTTTTCATTTTTCTTCTGAGTGATTTGTCTTCTTAATTTGTTCACTTCTGCCTGACAAGACTCAACAACTCGCTCACTCTTTTCTACATCTGCACACACTGCCTGAGGGAAAAATGACAACAAGATCATTAGTTCCACGTCCAAGCACAGGCATTCCATCGCGAGAGCGCTGCTTCGGAATCGCCCCTCGGAAAAGCCCAGGTGCCTTATTGACTTAAGAAAGCGGATGCATAAGGGAGCAGAGGCATGAAGGCCCAGGAGGCCGGTGCTGTTCTTACACCCTGCCTTGCTTTCTTAATTGTGTTAAGATGATGATACTATTTAGCTTAGACATTCTTTAAAATAAGGGTAAGATGGGAAAGATTTCTACTTTCCCTGGATTATTCATTTTTTGTCACACGAAGAGAATTTTTGATACCAGTCTAAAGGACAAACAAAACATAAGGCAGGAATGAGATGCTTTCAACTTTTATTTATAACCAACGATCACAAATCAGATGACACAAAAAGATTTAACAGAAAATACTGATAATTAGGGAGAACTGAAAAAGAAAGTTTAACAGTCAAGACTTAATAAAAGATAACTATTTGAGAGGAAGTCTATGTAATTTAACCATTCATATGTGATACAAATACGATACTGGTGTTTTCAGAGCAGGCCTTATTCAAATGGCAATGAAATGTATAACAGCCACTTTGAAGTTCGTTGGACAGTGCTGATGGTCTAAAAAGAGCATGGCCATGGATTCAGGACAAAACGCTGTTTTCACTGCACTTTCCTTCCGTAGCAGAAATAGCAGAAACCTGCCAAAAATCAGCCGGCCACCAGCGAGTCTGTGTAAGTTCCCTATACTGCTGGGTGTGCCGCGACCTGAATTTGGACACTAACACCGGAAACTGCCTGTTGGGCGCTTTCTTCTTTTGCCTCAGGCTGACCCCAGGCTGCTCTCCTCTTTCTCAGCGGCTGCCTTCTTTCCTCCCTCTATTCCTCGGGACCTTCATCCCCAAAGTGAGGCTTTCTCCAGGCCTGGGAGACTTCTTCAGCTCCATCCACCACTTTCCTCCTTGTCCTCAAAGCCTCCTTTGTTCTTAGGGTGTAGAGGTGAACGTGGGAAGTACTGTCAGTACCTGGCTCGGTATCTGGCTCGGAGGAGACGTTTCCATACACTGGCTGCATGAATGACTAGCAATGAACAGGCTCCCCTGTGACATCCCCACTGATGGAGGCACTGGGGGCAAAGTAAGTGAGCCAGAAGGCAGGAAACAGGGCCGCACTGAGTTTGGAGGCTTGTGATGTAGTCTCTACTTAGCGTACAACTGATGCGAGCTGTGTTCTTAGCAATCCTTCTTTAAACTCAGATACACTTCCCTAGAAAAAACACTTATAAATGGGGTCAAAAGTATTTAAAATAGTAATATTAATACTGTACTTCAGGCACACATGAGTGAGACAGGCTTTTGGAGGCTGCCGTGAATAACTACTGTACACATCTGATGTAACTTTGGGAAAGTACATTCTGACTTGCGGACAACCCATTTGTCAGTTGGGAGTGTACCAAAAATAAAAGTAGGATTAAAAGCATTTGGGCAATACAAATAAGATGAAAACTAGGAAATCCATCAGTTACCTGTACTTTCTCCTGAAGTGCATTGTAAACCTGATAAATCGCCCTGATGTCTTTCATGACTCCATCCTTGTCAAAAAAGTCAGTACTAGAAGATAGAAAAAAGATGTCACAGTTATTATAACCGCAATAAACCTGAAAGGCATTTTCCTATCACTTCTACCTTCATCTGACGCTTAAATGCTGCAACTCCAAGGTGACAATGTCTCAGCCATAATGCCCACACTACTAGAATTATAAAAGAGAGAAAAAAGGATCCACGTGACTAAGACAATTTAAAAAACAATAAAAAGCTATCCATTTGATAGTGGCCACAGTTATGTTTTAGAATGTCAGAAATATATATACTCTGTCCAAACTTTTTTATCAATTACAAAAAAAATTGTGGCAAATGATACATAAAAAAAGGAATGATAGGGCTGGCCAAGTGGCTCAGTTGGCTAAGAGTTAGTTTAAGAGTGTGAGCTCTGAGCAACAGGGCTGCCGGTTTGATTCCCACATGGGCCAGTGACGCTGCACCCGAGCTGAGCTGCTGCTGAGCTGCCAACAGGTGGCAGAATGGCTCAGCTGGTGAGAACATGTGCTCCTAACAAGGTTGCCTGTTCAATGGTGGGCTAGGCCCACCCACAACTAAGACTGAACTCGGCGCCTTGAGCTGAGCTTCCGCCCGGATGGCTCAGTGGATACAGCGTGCGCTCTTAACAACAAGGCTGCTGGTTCGACTCCCGCATGGGATGGTGGCTACGTCCACCCACAACTAAGATTATAACACAGCACCTTGAGCTTAGAGGCCACGAGCTGCTGACGGGCAGCCAGATGGTGACTGGCACCCTCCACAACTAAGATTGAAGCACAACAACTTGGCTGGTCTCCCTCCCCAATTCCCCAACGCTGTTCTCCTCCCCCAATTCCCCGATTTAAAAAATTAATTAATTAAAAAAAAAGTAATGATAAAGGTAAACTATCTTTTCAATAAAAATAAAACTTAGGGCCGAGTGGCGTGATGGTTAAGAACTGGCCTGGGACGCCAGAGGGACGGGGTTCGGATCCCACATATGAGGGCCAGTGACACTGCCCTCCACAGCTAAGATGCTGAACAACAGCTCAACCTGGAGCTGGGCTGCTGTGAGTCGCCGGTGACGGCGTAGGCTGCAGCCCCTGTGGCAGTGGGTTGCCATGGGCTACCGTGTGTAGCCAGCAGCCAGCGTGAGCGGCCAGCAGCCACAGTGAGCGGCCGTCCAGAAGCTGGCGACTGATCTGCCTCGCCCGGGAAGATCATGCAATGATGGTGCCAACTTGGGACAGTGAAGCAACGTCCTCCACGACTAGACTGAAGAACAAAATGACAGCAACTTGTCTGTTCCCATCCCAATTCCCCAATAAAAATCTTTAAAAAAATAAATAAATAAAATAAAACTTAGACATATAGTAATGGTGGTCTAGAGAATGACCTCACTGCATTTTTCAGTTTCAATCACATCAAACTAGATTTCACATTTCTCTATAAACCTTTTAAATATTAACAGAAGAAAGAACCTTCATTTTACCTTTGTACTTACCCATGTTCTTTAATAACTTTGGCATAACTCTGAGAAGTGTTTGGCACTGAAGACACTTTATACTCTTGCTGGCTGGTATTGCCTAAGTTGGGAATAGCGAGGGATAGCCTTTGATTATACCTGTGGGGGAGAATGAGGGGATCGTGTTAACAGCGCCGCTTGGAGAACGGGTTTGGGCAACAGGAGTCCAAGTCCGCACTGGCGAGCTAACAGGAGGCCTCATGGAGCACCTGCCTCCACAGACAACCCAAGCATGCACGAATTAGCAACTTTCGCTCTTCCCTGAAAGGAGAAGCTCCACTCTAAACTCCCTGGGGGCAGAGGTCACGTCTAATACATTTTCTGCACCCCCCACAGTGATGACAGAGTGCTGAGGAGGTTGTAAATGCTCAAGAAATAGCTACTAATTGACTAATGAAATCTTACAAATGGCTATTTAACAATTAATTATTTTCATTGATGCTGATTTAATTTATTCGACTACAAGTGAATTTCCGGAGGGAAACCTGTTGTTTACAACAGACACCACAGTCATAGGGTTACTTTTTAGTTTTGCTTTAACAAGTTCACAATGCAAAACCCTCATTAACCAGCAGGTGGATCAATTTTACAATTCTGTCTCTGAAATCTATGTTTGAAAATTACAATCAGACTTCCAGAGCAATAAAACTGTATTTCTACATAATGGATTATGGAGAAGCAAATGATGATTTCCAGATGTTCATTCCTCTAAGAATTTAGGCATAATTAACATGTCTTGCTAATTCTTCTTGATTCAAAAACAATTTTAATTTATACAACTGACAGGAAAATACCTTCTCTAACTACAAAGAAAACTAGCAAAAAGAGAATTATAAAAGCTTTTCTTTAAAGATGCTATAAAATGCACATTTTCAAAGTCATAAATCTCAGTTACTTGTACCAGCATCTCTCCTAGTTATGTGCAGCTGGTGGGAATGCCTCCTTTACCTTCGATTTGGTCTAAAGAGAACATATTCTAAAGCATGAGTGGAACTGTTGGCGGTGGAGATGAAGCTGAAGAGGAGGAAGACGAGGTCAGGAGCCCCAAGGATGCGGGTGAGCTGCTTATGGAGAACCTGCTCTCTGTACGACATTTGCTGCTGCGTGTTTCGCCGGAATCTGTACCACCCAATCACTTTCTGCGGAAAAGAAGTTTTAAAAGTTGTATGAAGTCTTACAAGTTTAGTTCTGGATGTGGCCATACAAACACTTGTACACAAATATCCACAGCAGCTTTATGTGCCGTAGCTCAAAACTGAAAACAACCCAACTGCCCAGCAACGGGTGAATGGGCACGTAAGCAGTGGTGTAGCCACACAATGGATTCCTACTCAGTCATGAAAAGGAACTACTGATATATACAACACAGATGAATCCCAAAATACATATGCTGAGGGAAAGAAGCCAGAGCAAAAAAAAAAAGTATATGCTATAGAATTCTATTCATGTAAAATTCTAGAAAATGAAAACTCATCTATCATGACATACAGCAGATCAAGCAGATCAGTGCTTGACTGGGGAGGGGGAGAAGGGGGGATTCAAAAAGGGCCCAAGGAGACTTCGCAGTGATTGACATGGTCATTATCTTATGATGATGATGGTTTCATGGGTGTATACCAAAACTTCTCAAAGTGTATATATACTAACATAAATATGTGCAGTTCATGGCATGGCAATTATACCTCAATATGAGCATTTGTCAAGTTTAGCTTTGTCAGTTCTAACTATAGTTAATGAAGCTGGCTAAGTGAAGGAAGCTGATGTGTTCTCTGGAAAAACAGCTCTCATGATGTGGTCTGCCGGACATCTGGAGGACAGATGACCTCAGACATATCTGGGAGCTTGCAAAAATGCTCCCGGGCCCCACCCAAACCTGCAGAATTGGAACCTCTAAGGGTACAGCCAGGAATATGGATTTAAGATAAGCTCCTTGAGTTTTTTCTTGTGCACACTAAAGTTTGGAAATCTCTGTTGTAGAGAAAATTACCTTAATTCTTTATTAGGAGGATAATCTTACATAGCTTGTTTCTTTAAAATAAACTCTGAGTGAAAATTCTGTTTTAAGAAGTAAAGGTAGTCAGTTGGAGAAAGACAAATACCATATGATTTCACTTATATGTGGAATCTAAAAAGCTGAATGGGCGAGGAAAGTGAACAGAGGCGGTCTCAGAGATGTGGGGGTGCAGCTGATGGCTATTGGTTGGGGGGGGTGGGGATGATGGAGAGAGGGAGGGGGCTGGACAGCATAAATACGCAGCTGCAGTGTTGCCATGGGGACATGGGGGACAATTCAAGGAATGTAATTGATAATGTGAATATTTTGTAGGGTGTCAGGTGGTCACATGTCTTGCATCATGGATGGGGAAGAGGCTTGATCACTGCACTGTACACCTGAAGCTGATGTTGTATAATATTGTATGTCAACTATAAAGTGAACATATATATATGTATAGTCATGGGACGTGGAGCATAGTGTGGGATTTGTAATAGATATGTATGATATTGGGGGGAAATGGGGCGGTGGATTGGGGGAGGGGGGTTGTCACTCCGAGGGGTAAAAAGTATAACTACTGCACTGTGTTGTACAGCTGAAACTAATTCTAAAAAATGTGTATTTCATAATAAAAAATAATTTAATAAAAAAAAAGAAGTGAAGGTGGTTTACAATTGTTAGTGTCATATGAAAATGAACGGGAAATTTCGATGATGTTTTGGCACTTTCGAGTAGGAAGGAAGTGAACCCGCCTTTGCTGCGCCCCTGTGCCAGGCCCCCAGCTAACGATATCACAAGTGTTTTCACTCATTATCACAACAACCCTGGGATGTGAGTGTGTTTTCTCCACTGAGTTCATATCACTGCAAGCAACTCCAGGGAACAAAGCAATAGTGTGTGCTGTCAGGAGCACTGCTGAACAAATGTATGACTTCTAATTACATTAAAGCAATTAATTCTGATAGTCTTTAAATAAAAAGAAAACCAAAGCATTTCTGACAGTATCAATCTTTTAAAAGAGATGTTTTGTCCCAAGTCACAGAGCTAAGAGTTACAGCCAGTATCTGGAACCTGTCTTTTACTACTGTACATTAACTTTAAAATTCCACATTAGTCACACAATGGTGGTCATAAAAAGTGAAAAGTAGTTTTCCTTAAAAAAAAAAATGGATAAGACAAATTATCAACTGGCCAGAGCTATCGATGTCTAAGTACATGGCATGTTAAGCTCGAAGTCCCAGCTCTCTGTTTGCGCCTCTGCTGGATGGGACAGGTCCTATACGCCCTCTCCTCTCCGTCCTTGCAAAGACCTGAGCAGCGCTAGGCACACTGGCTGTTCTCACGAGTCACTCACTGATGAACAGACTCTGGCAAGCGGCTACCAGATAAGTACGCTTTTTACTTATGCTGATTCTACTTGTTTTAATCTATTTGTATTTTCTGAGAAGCAGGGAACCTTATAAACGTATTTTGGATATCAACTGATAGTAATCAACTTATTCATCTGATATTTGCTAAAAAGGATGCTCCCATCATTCTGATCAATGGAAGATAAGATGTCAAATTAATTCACACTGGTGACATCTATGAGCTAACAAGCTAGTTGTAAGGCTACTGCAAAACTAGGTCACTGATGCTGAAAAGCACATTTCTAGTAGCTATGCTTGGGCCATGATGAAGAATTAGGGATAACTTTCCCTAAAACCTTGTCTCTGCTGAAGTTTCACAGACAGTTTTCATGAAGACCTTCCTCCCTACTCTCCAAGCTACGCGTTCACTTACATTTGTCATCGTTAGGTTGTGTTTTGGGCCTTAGGATGGTATTAAGACGACAGTTATGTTGATCATTATCTATTTCAAAATAGATGCTTCTAGAAGGCATAAATCCTCCTCTCACTTGCTTCTTTGTCCTTAGCCCCAAACCTGAGGCTTGTGGAAACTCAGCCCAAGCTGTAACTCAGCACGTGACCACATTGTACCTACTGGGGATTTCATACCCAAAACACTAGCCTCTCTGGTAAGCCCAACACATATTTTTTAGTGTTTTAACGATGTTGCTGAGTTTCTATATTTGAGGGCCACACTTTTTTTAGTAAACATGTTTCTATATATTTTATACAATAGATGCTATTGTGACAAAAATGTTTATTAACTTGTGTTTTCTAATGGGTAATTCTAGGATTCGGACTTTTTAAATTACTATGTATTTGTTTTTGAGATCAACTTATTAAATTTTCATTCAATTCTTAGAATTTTTAAATTGAATATTTGATTTGAAGACTGCCTAGCAAACAGTTAATTTTTGAAAAATTTCTATCATCACGTTCTTCAAGAGTTAACAGTAATAAAATATTTTCTGTATGTCAGGTACTGTTTAAAGTATAGATGTATTTAAGCCTAATATTTCAAATGTACCTTTGTCGGTAGTACAATAGCCCTTTTGAGGTGAAGATACAATTTTGTACCATTCCTGGGGGGAAAAACCCTAACTAGGATCAACTATAACGCTTTTCAGTCATTTAAATATTATACATCTTTGCTTTTGTGCTGGAAATTTGGATTTCTGAAAAAAACCCTCAAAGAGTTTATATTATGTATAAGATGCCACAGGAAATACAATGAAATATAGTAAAACCTTGGGTTGCGACTAACTTGGTTTGCGAGTGTTTCGCAAGATGAGCAAACATTTCTAATACATTTTAACTTGGTAAACGAGCGATGTCTTGCAATATGAGTAGTTTGTTTCCGCAACGAATTATGCTCGCAAACCAAGGTATTACTGTATATAGTTCCTGCCCTTAACAAATACCACGGAAAACATAGTTTCCTAATAAATTGAAACAACAAACTGATATCTCTAATTGCAAAGAAAACATCAACATTTGTTTTAGCGCAAAGTTCTATAAAATCAAAACTGTTGATCAACTTTTAACTTTTTTGAGACTTCTGGCCCCAGAAAAAGGAAAGTTAACTCCAGATAACAACCTATGATTAGTGTTCTGTTTCTCAAAACAGCAAATCCAGTTTTAAGACCCTCAGATTAGGGCCGGCTGAGTGGCTCAGTTGGTTAAGAGCTCGCTCAAGAGTTTGAGCTCTGAGCAACAGCGGTTCGAGTCAGCCCGAGCTGAGCAGCCGTGAGCTGCCAACAGGTGGCGGGATGGCTCAGCTAAAAAAAAAAAAAAAAAAAAAAAAAATAAGACCCTCAGATTAATTTGGAAATGTGTCCCTATTCTACTACTGGAAAAGCTACATAGTAGTTTACATAGTGAGTCCTTTTTTTCTGTTTCTTTTCAATTATAAGACACAGTTAACAAAACAAACAAACATCAAATCAAGTCTCCCTTCATCAGCAGCGCTTCCTCTCCCAAAGTACCCACTTGTCAGTTTGGTTGGCTTCCTTCCAGATCTTTTTCTGTACATTTAAACACTCATTCAGACTTTTGTTTTTACATTAAAGAGACCCAAATTATAATGCTGCTTTTTTCGTTTAACATTAATTTGGAGCTCTATGTCATTACATGAGAGCCTCCCTCATTCTTTTTAATGCTGGCTTCATATTCCATAGTATGGAGGTACCACCATCATTTACTTCATCATTCCCCACTGGTGAACATTTAGATTGCTTTCCAGATTCTCACCATGAAGCAAAGATGCAGTAAACACCCTCTACCCTGGATTAAGAGGCCGGACTGCTGGGTTTAAGCCTTGGCTCCACCATTACTCGCTGGTGAACTTAATTGTAGTTGCTCAACTGTAGAATGGGATGACAGGAACAGCAGTTTTCCTCACAGGGCTCTTGCAAGGATTAAACGTGTCAGTGCCTGCATCGTGCTTAGAACGTGTCCTGGCACAGGGTTAAAGCGATCAATAATGCCAGTTTTTCATGTCTTGGTGCCTAGATGCCATTATTTACTTGGGACAGATTCCTAGAGGTGGTATTACATATTCAAAATCCTGTCACTGCAAAACTCTCCTCCTAAATGTCTGTATCAACTTACATTCCCACCAACGACAGCCTCGCCATTTCCCACAGCCTTGCCAACACTGCATATTAACAATCCTTTTAAGCTCTGCCAATCCGGTGGGCAAAAAAATAGTGTCACGTTGTTTTAATTTGCATTTGCAAGGTTAAACAGCTTTTCATTTATTTCTTGGCCATTTGTGGATTTCATTTTTCTTTGGTGGATTTCCTCTTGATGGTCTTTACTCATTTTTCTCACTTTACCTTTTTTCATCTATTTTTAAAAAATACTTGCGGTACTTTTAATATGTAGGGAGTGCTCTACAAAACTGTGCTCCAATAAGAACTTTCATGGAACAAATTTTAGTTTTAGAAAGTATAATAAAGACCTTTATCTAAAATATGAAAATAAATGGCACGGGGAGGTAAGGCAGTGGCTGGGGGAGGAAGGACAGCCTGCTAAGAGAGTCTGGAGCGTACGCTCTTGGGCAAGTCACTGAGAATGAGAGCCGGGCTATGGCGCACGGCTGCTCTAACTCCCTTTCCCAGGAGGGCAGAGGACTGGACCAGACTCTGCCCTGTGGAGCACCGCCGGAGCTTGTCATCACCCGCAAAGCCATGTGTCCTTCCTTCCAACCTGTCCCCACACTTTCCCTCTTCCTGTCACCTTACCTGCTCTGCTTTCTGCTTGGGTGCCCAGCAGAGGTGCCGAGACTGAGGCGGCCCCGCACACGGCACTCACTCCCGATGCCCTTCCCTCCGACCCCTCAGGGCCCAAGCCCCACACTGCACGGAGGATTTCTACCCACAGGGCATCTCGGAAAGCTTTTTTATAACACATGCTTCTAAGCAAAGGCATTTTGTTTTCTGTTTGACAAGTCAGCAGCTTTTATTGGTTCTTTTTTTCTTCAAGTGAGGTTGAATAACCAATCTATTTTTTGGGAATTTATGTACCAAAGTAGAAATTATATAATTATTTCATGTGTATTAAATATTTACAAAATTATTTTTTAAATTACAAAGTAGAAAGACAGGACCACCCAGAGTCAACTCAACTATTGCTAGTTTTCAGATTATAGCTCCTTTTTTCTTCAGATTTTTCCAAAATGGAATCATACTATAAATATCTAATTTTTTTTTCTATTGATGTAGTGTAAACATTGTCTCAGGCCTTCAATTTACCTTTAAAATCTACTCAAGGTAACAGAACTCTCATATATTAACATCGAATTGCATTGTTCCATTTCCATTTCTTTCTGGTTTTAAGCTTGGGTGATGAGATCAGGAGCAATTTCCAAATCAGAACAGGCAACAAACAGAACATACCTTTCTCCGATCTTTAAGAATCCTGTCCAAACTCTCTTCATTAACTTTGCTTGCATAGTCATAAAAACTATTTTTTAAAGAGAAAAAAAATATTATATTAAAATCACATGGTATTGTGACATGGATATACTTAGCTACATGTGTCTATGGGTCATCTAACCCTAAAGGCTGGTGATAAAGATATAATGGCTTGTCTTCAATAGGTATATAAAGAGAAATCAAACTAAACGCTTTACTGATATATCTGTTGCATCAAAGAATACTCAAGAGACTGTTACATTCAAAGGGGATTACTTCCACACTTGGGAGGTGCTGATAGCAAGTAATTACAGAATACGTGGTTTCAAATGTCTGTGACATTTCTTCCTTGTTTCTAAAGCATCTATTACTTATGAAAAAAAAAGAACACAAGAGCTCATTTTCTGAGAGATGAAGAAGCAAGATGAATATTTGCTGAATGCTTAATAAGAAAATCAGAGGCATGTTTTCTCATGTGACTTCACTTCCTTCTTGCCTCAACGCCGGGAGGTATTAATTCAGCCTGACAAGCCAAGAAGTTTTATTCCCATTTTTGTAGATAAAGACACTGAAGTTAAGTGACTTGGCCCAAATCACAGAGCTGGTAGATGGAAGAGCCAGGAGTTGAAGCCAGGTCTGGTTAGCTTCAAATCCAATGCACTCATGCCTAAAATAGACCAACGTAACCAGGATCCTGTGGTGAGCAGCCCAGGCCTGATGGTGTGCGGGCCTTTCTACCACTGGTCCCCGTTTTAGGAATGCCACCCCTCCTCTCCTCCTCGCACCACTGGAAGCCCAGGCTTTATAAGGCGGGACGGAGTTCAAGATACAGTAAACACACTGAATTGGGAGTAAGAAGATACCACCTCCAGCTCAGTTCTGCTTCTCACTGTATGATCTTGAGCAAGTCTCTTAACCAATCTGGCTTCCACTTCCTTTTTTGCAAACTAAAGGGTTTGGAGTAGGCAGATGACAGTTCTAAAGTTTCTTGCAGCTCTAAGAATTATGAGTCTATGATTTAAACTTAGATCCTTGTTCTGGTCTGACTTTGCTGGAAGTGTCGTAAGGAATCCCTGAGAAGGACAAGGCAGGGCACACTTAGCAAAGCTCTGGGTAGTCAGGGCCACACTGGACACTCTCATGGGCCAGACGGAGGCACTGTGTGAACCAGGCCTGAGTCACTTCATCTGCTCTGAGAGTCTTCTCAAATGAATCACCGGTTGCTTGTCCTCTCATTCCTCTTTCAGTTCTGTGTAAATCTAAGAGATGAGGTTCTCGGCTACTCTGAAGCCTCACCCACAGGTAGCCATCTTCCATGATGACAATCCTCTGAAATACTGAGGTTGGTGTGTGTGTGTGTGTGTGTGTGTGTGTGTGTGTGTGTGTGTGTGTATGTGTGTGCGCGCGCGCGCGTGTGCATGTCGGGGGGTGACCATGACACAAGTCCCCAGGAGCTCTTGGGTGCAAGGGGGCTGGGTGCTTGGGCCAGCTGAGAACGGGCGAGTGGTCAGGGTGAAAGCTGCAGGGAACACACAGCAGGAAGGAGTCAGCCGGTGTTTTAAGGAGGAAGTGCTGCCCGGGAACACTGAACTGAAGCAGTGTGGGCAGCAATACAAGGAGAGCGTTGGCCTGGCTTCTGGGAAGGCAGAAGAACAGGACCTCAGAGAGTTTTAAGAAACAAAGAGGTAACATCACCAGACCAGCCCTCAGGGAGAAGGGATGGAGCTAAGAAAGAAGGCAGAGGCCTGGGTGGTGGTGTGGGGAGCAGGGTCCTGTGTGTGGGAATACTGGCCTTTTTCTCCCTCACCTTCACCCTTCCACACGTGTCTGTCATTTGCTTTCTCCCTTCTGCATGTCTCTCCTCCCACTTTTTTCGCTGTCTGTCCTTTAGTTGGTCATAATGTACAACTGGTGTCGATCAACTTAAATAAACACAAAAAGAAAGTTTTATGTTTTCGTTCCTTATGTTTTAAAGTTAAATACAGAACATCTTTTATTCCTCTCTAAAACACCTTAAATTATTTTATCTACACGTACTTCCTTCTCCATGAAGAGCCCTTGCTGGGGAGGCTGCTGGGAAGGCAGCTTTCATTCTAAATCAAGGTAAGCAAGGCTTCTGCCTCCCTTCCCTAACCTAACGTGGTGCCACACACACATCAGGCGCTCCATGAATAAGTGAATTTGGATACCCTCAGTTGTATTTGTGACTCCACAGCCATAATCAGCTACCGGTCTAAATTCACTAGTTTTGAATCAATTACTATTTTAATAAGAACTAAAAGCTACAAAGAAGAATGTGGCTTACCTAAAAAGTTTTGAACAAGGCTGATGATTATGGATTTCTGAAATTAGAAAGAGAAAATACATCATAGTTAATCATGTAAAATGTAGGCAATTATAAAATAGCCTAGGATGTTTTTTTAACCAAAATCTCAGGCAATGAAATGATAGTTTTTGTCTCCCAAATAGGTGCTGTGTGTACATTAGTGAAGGCAGTGTGCCTTCTCAGCATTTCAACTCAGGGACACATTCTCAGAACAAAGTAAACTGGGGAATGAAGGCTCTGTTTCCATTTGTCCGTGTATTATGAGCACACAGCTAAAAGCTGTTACTCAGGACACGCAGCTATCGTGTGCTCTTACTCAGTCTTCCTATTTAAACAAAGCATACGAGGAAACGGTATCCACTCACTGGAAGTGTTTCCTCAAGGTGCATAAAGGCTGTGAGGACAGCTTGGGGAGAGGAGGCCTTGACCACCCTTCCATCAATAATCCAGCAACAGCTCCTGATGACTTGGGCCAGGCATTTCGAATAGGAAGGGAGGAAACTCTGGAAGTCTATTAACCCTTTCAAAGATGGCCAGCACTAAGGGAAACCATTATTTATAAGGCAGACCCTAACGGCTTCTGAAAAGATGGCTGTGATTAACCAGAGTGGATCATTTCTTCAAGCTCACCAGGGGGCTTAGGGTTTGGGCTGGTTCATAAGACCATGAGACTCATTAACCATTCAATTCTATTAATAACATTCTCCTGGACAAAGACTCATTACCTGCTGTTTAAAATGTCACAGCCCAGAGTTACAGGCTGCGATCTTAACTCAATTAAAATTAAACCAGAGCCTTAAAAGACATGGGGCGATTACCGTCTCTGCTGCTGTTAACGCTGCCAAAACACACACAGAGATGCAATACTTCCACAGGAAAGACAAGTTCATTTGCCTAGAATGGCTGTTGACATAGTGATACAAATAAGAAAACCTCTAGGGGGAAACATCTAGAAACGTTTCCTTCTTTTATCACCAAAAATGATACAGTAAGCCCTCATAAGTTATTTCAGATACTTTTAGCAATTAGAATGTGGAACATCTGTAGCAAAAACATTTCCTAGTGTTCAGGGAAAAGAAAAAGAGCGCATCTTCTCCTTTAAAGGAAAGAATATTTCGTTTCAGAAAATCCCTAGAGTAAATTCTGAACTCTGAGTACACCTCCTGTCATCAATCCGCCCAGGCAGACTTCCTTCATGATTTACAACCCGGAGTAGAAGCACACTAAAGATAGGCTCTAGATATCACGTGGTATTTCCTAAAGAAGTTAAAGCCTTTTCACATAAGATTTTTTGCAATACCTAACGAAGCACTCCATGGAGAAAACAGGGTGATGGTCTCAAACATGCCAACTGCCGATCAGAATGAAGCTGGCGGACGCATCGGCTGACAGGTGGACCTCTGGAAGCAGGCAGAGGCAGGACAGCCTCGCCTAGGACCCTAGAGCTGCCCAGGCCTCCAGAGCTCACCCACAGGGTTGACTCCTCTTCATGTGCACATGGTGCCTCTGCACACACTTCTTTACCAATCCCCACCGGCAGGGCCTGCTGTTCTTGCTCATCTGATCTCTGCTTCTCCTGCCGCTGGGTGAGCTGAGCAGTGTCTCTCCTTCTTCCTTCCACTCTTTCCAGTAACTGCCACTACATCACCTCATTAACTAAGGAAGCTCTCCTGGTTCTCCTTCCTAGGACTACGGGTGATGGCTCTGCTTCCAGTGAGTTAGCACAGCTTTTTTTTTTTTTTTAATTGGGGAACTGGGGGATGGGAACAGCACTGAGGAATTGGGAGAAGGGGAACAGACAAGTTGCTGTTGTTTTGTTCTTCAGTCTAGTCGTGGAGGACGTTGCTTCACTGGCCCAAGTTGGCACCATCATTGCGCTCTTCCCGGGCGAGGCAGATCAGTCGCCGGCTTCTGGACGGCCGCTCACTGTGGCTGCTGGCCGCTCACGCTGGCTGCTGGCTACTCAGGTAGCCCATGGCAACCCACTGCAGCAGGGGATGCAGCCTATGCCGTCGCCAGCGACTCCCGGCAGCCCAGTTCCAGGTTGAGCTGTTGTTCAGCATCTTAGCTGTAGAGGGCAGTGTCACTGGCCCTCATATGTGGGATCCGAACCGGGGCCCTCTGGCATCCCAAGCCAGCTCTTAACCAACGCGCCACTCGGCTGGCCCTAGCACAGCTTTTTAAACGAACATGTATTCAAAACAACACACAGACACTTCATGTTCAAAATGTGATATTCGATATAAACTCTTCCTTATTGTAGAGTCAGGTAAAAGTGTCTGTGCGTGGACTCAGACGTTTTTCAACAAATAAATCTGGTCCATTTATTTTATTTAAAACATCTTATTCTGGGGCCGGCCGAGTGGCTCAGTTGGTTAAGAGCTCGCTCAAGAGTTTGAGCTCTGAGCAACAGCGGTTCGAGTCCAGCCCGAGCTGAGCAGCCGCTGAGCTGCCAACAGGTAGCAGGATGGCTCAGCTAAAAAAAAATAATAAAATAAAAAAAATAAAAAAAATAAATAAAACATCTTATTCTGGAAGTTAAGCTATGCCAGAAAATTTCTTCACACTACGGGTATGGAATACTGCTCATGGTACTTTACCTAATGCTTTGCCTTTCAATCCAGTTTTCCAGAGTCCCTGGTCTACATTTCCTAATACGGATTTACTTTATTTTTAATTATAGTTGACATACTTGAAAACCCAAGTGCAAACAATAAATAATTGCACAGGTGTCCAATGAAACCAAATGCTCTATTTTAGGAAGTTAAACAGTTAAGCAAAACAAAACACAAAACCTTGGTGAGAGAACAGCTCAAGGAGAGAGTTCAGTCTCGTTTTCTCCCAATCCTAACCGCACTGCGGTCCTCACCCTGGCCTCCCGGTTCATGTACCAGAAGGCTCTTAGAACAGGCTGGAAACTGACGGCTTGGCCCCAACACGACGGGCCTTCCAGCAGTACTGAAACCACTCTCCTCCACAGACACTGTACTTCAGCCCCAGAAACAGGCCAGGTCTCCCGGATGCTTTATGCACACCTGGCTGTGTTCCTCTGAGCGCACTGCCCACGGGCCCTGAGTTCACCTCCTTCATGACGTCTTTACTGATTTCACCCACTAGCAGCTTTGTTTTTTCCAACTTATGGGGTTTCCTTCCTTACAGCACTCATCTTGCACTGTCTGGTACGTGTATGCTCGTCTTATCCTCCCCACACTCCTGGAAGCAGGGAGGCATCTGGATATTCCTCTCATTGCCTAGCACATGCCTCACACTTCAATGAATGTTGGCTGCACAAATGAATAAATGTCCCTTTCTTTGTTCTGAGTATCAGGATGTGCTGTTTGATGATATGCTCGAGGTGAAGCTGAAAGGGCTATGATCCCTATGTATGAAAAGGAGGCTGACCCAAGGCGAGTAAGAGTATCTATAAATACTCCTTCATCTTTCCCAACAATCTCCCCCAAATTGACCATTTGAGTTATTCCTCAGAAGACTGTGGAGATTTAGCAAATATCTCATGTAAATAAGTGTGAACATCTTTGTCAGGTCCCTCCAGGAAGGACCAGCATAACACATCCTTTCATTATAGTGTCAGGTGATGTTGGCAATGGGGATAGCCTACTTTGCAAACTTGAAGTTCATAGTGGTTTTGAAGAGACTATGAAGTACAATAGCACACAGCAATTTAGTAGACGTCAGACCCCTTAGCGGGTAAGGGAGAGCTTTATAGGATATCTAAAGCTAGCTACAGCAGTGTATGTTATTTATTAGTACAAATAAATTGCACTGTGATTTTAGTGGTTTTCTATGTACTCTTCTAATCTTTTAGATTAAAATCAGTTAAGGGCCAAAGAACAAACAGTATATATACAAAAAGAGTGTGTCTAAGGTCCGCGATGAACTTACCAATTACTTGCAGAAATTCTGTGTTGCTGATTTGTGAGTCACTGATGCTAAAGGTTTCCTCCTGTCTTACCTCTCCCAGCAAAAATCCTTCCTGAAAGTCAAAGAAGAAAACAGTTACAGACTAAAAATAAAGATGGTTTTCACTGGAATTAAGAGGAACTGAGGACATTAAAATTTTATAATAATTTTAACAATAATCCAAGTAAGCTTGCCATGTAAACTACTATTCGGTAAACCAACAAAACTAAAGCAATCTGAGGTGTATCTATTAACTGGATTGTTTGAAAAAAGGATTCCATACAAGATGAAATATTATTGTAATCCCTTCAAGTCTTCCCTGTTTTTTAAAGTAAAAATGAGTACAGTGAATTCCTCACCTAAATGCTACTAAGTATAATAACCAATGTCAAAAAAGCTCAGAAAGCAGAAATATTCCAAGTTTGTTTTCCTGAAGGAGCATATAATTTATTTCATTGTTTTAAAAACACTGTTGATGATAAAAGGACACAGAAGTTAACAATGCACAACTAACTGCACTTCTGTAGGCTGGAGTGGAAAATTAGGATCTCAATAAATAAATTCCCATCACTCACATGAAAACCTTTCTTTACTAATTGCAGAGGTTAGTTTATTTATGCCTTTGGACACCATGTGCCACCATCATCAACTCTGGATTACTCAGCATCTAACCTACTGTTTCACTACTTGCTCTGATGGTCAGCACAAGCAGTTGGAGAACATTGACCCTAAATGTCAAAATAACTTCCCTGTGGAGGGTAAACAGATAGGTTGTTCTGGAATCTCTGTTCCCAGATACCCACATGGCTTACTCCTTCCCTCCATGAGGCTCTTTACTCAAATGGCACCTTATCAGAGAGGCCCTCCCCGGCCAGTGTAACAGAAAGCGCATGTGGCAGGCACTCGGTCCCCTTTACCCTGCATTCTTTTTCTTCTGAGTCTTCTCACTATCTGCCACATTACATATTTATATGAACAAATAAATGCCTATCCCCCACTAAAATGTAAGCTCCATGAGAGCAAGGACTTGGTGCCTAACACATAGTAGGTGCTCAATAAATACTGGATGAATAAATTTGTTGAAACAATACACTGTACTATATACCTTTTTATTCTAGGCTGATCCTTTAAATCAGCGGTTCTCAACCTTCCTAATGCCGCGACCCCTTAATACAGTTCCTCATGTTGTGGTGACCCCCAACCATAAAATTATTTTCGTTGCTACTCTATAACTGTAATTTTGCTACTCTTATGAATCGTAATGTAAATATCTTTTTGTTTTCCGATGGTCTTAGGCGACCCCTGTGAAAGGGTCGTTTGACCCCCAAAGAGGTCGCGACCCACAGGTTGAGAACCGCTGCTTTAAATCAATTAAAGAAGGTTTCTAGTTTAAGAACATTCCCAATTGGAAGAAGGAATCTGAGGAGGTGAGGAGGGAGAGACAGGTGCTTTACAGCATAGCTTCCGTATTGGATTAGGGGGATAGAGTGTCCTAATATCCCAAATCATCGTGTACAGGGCATTTCACAAACCTGAGTAATATAGAGATCCCCTTAGAAAAAAATTCTCTCAGGCCTGAAGGTGCACCCATGACTACTAGTTTGAGAAACATTAACTAAGGAAGCTTGTTTTATCTTACAAAAGTTGTTTCAGTTACCAGTTCTCACTACAAAAGAGAAACTTTGTAACATGTTAAAACATGTTTCTTAATCAAAGTGAAAAAAAATTAAAATTCCTACAGAAGCTTAGACCTTAAGAACATATCTACAGATTCCTAGTGTTCCAATACAGAGTTGCTGGATTTAGCAGATAAAAATATGAGACACCCAGTTAAATCTGAATTTCAGACAAACAACAAGTAATTTTTATGTAATATTTGGGATATACTTATATTAAAACTTTATCTGAAATTCGAATTTAACTGGGTGCCCTATATTTTATCTGGCAGCTCTAGCACAGTCCTCGGTTTTAAAAAGTGAACAGTGACATCAAGACATTTTAAAGCCAAGCATAAAATGAATGCTTATTTATAGCTACTGTTCTGGGATTGTTTGTTACTTTATAGAGAGAGTAGGAAAACTATAGTGTGTGGGCTAAATCCAGTCTAATGCCTGTTATGCACAGTTCACAAGCTAAGAATGCTTTCTACACTTTACATTGTTGAGAAAAAATGAAAATCGGAATAGTATTTCATGATGTGAAAATTATATGAAATTCAAATTTCAATGTGCCGAAATAGAGTTCATTGGAAATAGTCACCCTAATTCACTTATTGTTTATGGTGGTTTTCTCCCTACAACGGCAGAGTTGAATAGTTGCTACAGAGAGCGCATGGCTCCCAAGACCTGAAATACCTACTATGAGGCCCTTGATAGAAAAAGTTTGCTAACTCCAGCTCTATTTAACTAATTTCTTGCCTGGACGAAACCAGAATGTGCTACAAAAGCAGATTCTTGGTTCTTCAACTTTAAAATACATAAAATTGAAATTACTTTGAAGTATTCTGCATATATAATTAATTGTAGCAAGGCTAATATAAACAGGTATGGTAATAACAATACAAACTATTGTCATTGGTGAAAGTTTCCATGAAGTCTAGCAGCACACCTGCCACAGTGTAGATATTAAAGAGATAGCTCTTCAACTAATAACAATCTAAGTAACATGGCTAGCTCACTGCAATCTGTAGAAAAACTATCCACTTTCCAACAGGTAGCTGTTTATTCTCAAAATAATCTTGCTTACACATAAACTGTGATATTACTAGGCACTCCAAAAACAAGAGAGGTTAAGAAGCATTCTTTAAACCAGATTTAATACTTCTACGGGCACTAGGAGTATCACAAACCACCTATATATGGAACTTTATTACATTATTAAATAGTTGGCTGCAGTATCAAAGGCCTTAATGTCATGAGACAGGAGCGGCCTGTGGAAAAACTCAGGTAGTCTATATTCTTATCATTAATCTCTACCATCAGCACTGGAGAGATGAAAGGTACATTAATTTCATGCCATTGAATTTACTGAAGGAATCCCCTCCCTATGAAATGTTTTTTTTATTAATGGAAGCTAAGATTGCTGACATCACATCAGATCCAGTTCCTTCCACTGCAGTGTATCATTTTGCTTTGTAATGACAACCACAAAACCCTCCACACTTGTTTAATGAATGTGAATAATTCACTATTAGCATCATTTAAAATAACACCCCAATTTGGTGGGCCAATTAATTGCGTGCTTAAAGATGAAAAAAAATTATCTAGTTTCACAAACAATTTCCACATAGAGGCGAGTGATATTAAAAGACAAGCCGAAAACTAAAGACATTGAAGCGGACAGGCACTGCTCCCTCTGTGGGCTCCAAAGCCTGTGTATTTTCGATTATTCATACGCAGGCCTATCACTTCCCTATTTCACTGCGACTTAGTTCCGAGGTCTTAGAACATTCGCCAAGGAACTAAACACACAACTTCAAAGCACGTAGACCCTACGCCTAACATTTCTGTTTACATTCTCCATTTTCCATCGAGGCGAAGAAAACACGCGATCATATCTAACAAGTATGAATAGTGACAGTCATGGTTTCCCATGTCGCACCCCACGAACCCCTGTGAGACAAGCGGGCGGGGCTGCGTGTCTCGGCTCCTGCCCGACCCCGGGCTCCCCTCACTAGTCTAGAAGCCTGACACTCAGGGAGGGGCAGGCGCTCGGTTTCCACAGCGCGACTCCTGACACTGCCGGCGGCCGGCCGGGGCAGCCTTGCCAAACCGGACACTGCTGTCCCAGGACCGTCGGGCGGCGGAAGGCACCGAGCGAGGGGGCCCATCCCGGGGGCGAAGGAGTCCCGAGCAGAGGGAGCTCGCCAGGGGCGGGAGCAGCCCGAGTCACCAGCTCCTCGGGTCGGCCAGGGAGCTCGGGGGGGTGGGGGGGTGGGAGGAGCGAGGGGCGAGTGGTCCCGGCTTGGCCCGAAACAGAGGCTGGAGGCCCCAGTAGCCACAGCGCGGGGCCCGGCACCTACGTGGTCGGCGTTGCTGTTGGCGCTGTGAAAACACACAGCGCTGAAGGTGTAGCCCGAAATGGAAGCCGCCATGATGGAAATCTCCAACTCCCCCATCATGCTCCGCGGAGGGCACACCGCCTTCCGGCCGGCCCCGCCCGTTGGCATCCTGGGAAATGAAGTCTTCGGCGGGTGAGGCCTGGCGGCCGAAGCGCCCAGGTTGAGGAGTGCCGGTTTATGTGATCAGAACGACTCCCGCACTGTACCCTCCCGTGGGTCTCGCGCCCAGCACACCCCAGACATTGCCTCTTCTGGATAGCCCTTGATGGTTACCCAAACCATTTTTTTCTTTATGCAAATAAAACTATAATATTAGTGTTAAAGGCCAACATTTGCTGTACTCAGTTGAGGATGAAAGGAGAAAGACAATTCAGGCAATTGTATAGTTTTGGGTTTGATACAGAAGTAACACGATATCCAGTTCTACATGACCATTCTGGCTGCAATGTCAAGAATACAGTGCCAGGGGAGAGAGAAAGCAGTATTACAATAATCCAGACGCTGGGTGACAGTGGCTTGGGAGTGCTTAGAACTGAAATGGTGGTAGCAGTAAAGATGGTAAGCTATTGGATCCTGGGTACAAAAGAACACAAATTTAATGAAAAGTAACTGAAAGAGGATAAAAACATAAGTAATAAATAAAAGTGAAAATAAACCATAGCAAAGTTAGGAAACAGGGAAGGAACTAAACTTTCTAATCATTATTCTTCAATTATTCAGTCTTTCTGGTTCAAAACTGAGCTCTTGCTCTCCCACAAAAGTCCTTCTACCACTCTTCCCAAGCTCAGCAAACAGAACTGTTTTCTGACAGTTGCTCAGGACAACCTTGGAATCATTCTTGACACCCCTCTTTGATTGGTTGGCAGTCTTCAAAATATATCAAAATACTCAGAAGCTGTTGCAATGCCCCAGTAAGCTGTGAGCCTGAGTGACCCAAAGGAAGGCAGAGTGGTGGCGACAGGATTGAAAAATGCCCCTGGGCCCAGATACCAGAGGAGACAGGGGAGGAGGCGGGGAGAGTGAGGGAAGGACAAGGATGATGCTCTGCCTTGGGTGACTGTGGGATGGTCAGGGACCACCTGAATCTAGAACACAGGGAAGAGAGGGTTTGGAAGTATGGGGCTGAGGGAGAAGGATGTGCAAGACAGTTCTGTTCTGAATAGGTTAAATTTAATGTAACAAGGAACATCTAGGCAACCGCAATAGAAGTCTGGAGCTGAGGGTAGAGAATGGAATTGGAAGTCGCTAATAAGGACGATAGCTAACATTTACTGAACACTGATTATACGTCAGGCTCTGTTCTAAGCTCTTTACATGTACAGTGGATTAACTTATTTAATCTTCCTAAGAACCCTTAAAAGTAGATGCATTTTTAAACTCTATTTGATGGCTTAAGCTACATCAAGCACATAAGATTGCACAGGAATTATCTCATGTAATCTCTACAGCTGCCCTATGTCATAAGGATGGGCAAACTGAGGTCCTAAGTTAAGGAACTTGCCCATAGTCACATATGGTAAGGCCAGGGCTCAAAACCTGGCAGCCCAACTTGAGATAGGTGCCTAGCTCCCTTTTATAAAGGCTCACTTAAGAGCAGGTATTGCTGGGGAGAAAAGGAGGGTTTTCAAGAAGGGTATGCTAAGTGGTGTTAACAGCTACAGAGGATCAAGGGAGGTAAAGCCTGGAACTTGACCTTTGGTTTGCCAACTGGGAAGTGGTTGAGAATCCTTGAAAGCACAGTTTCAGAGAAGTTGTAGGTGTGCAGGGCTCCAGGCTGCAGGAATTAATAGAGTGAGGAGGGGACAGGCAACCCAGGGTACTTGCAGAGCCTCCCTCCTGCCTCCTGCCTGGGGCACATCCCAGCTTCTCCCTGGTGATGGGCAGCTCAGCTAGGACTGAGCTTCTCCACCCCCCATCAAGAATCCGTTGCCCTGGGTGATCAGAGGTGCTGTTCCACACAGCCTTCAGAACTAAACAGCCAGAGGAACCTTGGAGCCAGGGAAGGAACTCTGTATAAACCATGGGTTTTTCCAGGGCTCGATACCAACAAGTGTTTATAGCATTCATCACACACAGCAAAAACAACTTATGTGTTGGCAAGACATCAGATTGCAGACAGCATTATCTTTCATGGGTGCCTCTTAATTATAACTGAAAGCTTTTTAAGTCCCACTCAGTCACATTGAAACTTGCTTTCTCTAGCATCTAGAGTCTAGAAAAGATGAAAACAACCAGGGCAGCACTAATTGGCTATGACATCCGGTGGTTTTATTACTCTGTAATAAGGTTACTTACTCTCTTTCGTGGGTTCTTTAATCACTGTACACATGGACTCCCCCATCTGTCTTTTACTGTATTTTGCCACTGGTAAGTTGCCTGAAGATCTGGAATGTCTTGTATAGGAGGAGATGCACATTCCGTCCTCGTCCTAATGAGGATTTCTGGGAGCTGGAAAGGCAACTGTTGATGTTGTTCACCTCTAGGGGCTGTTATTGGGCTTCTCTGTCTGCCCAGCCAACAGCAACGTGGCCTAGGAAACATTCCTTTTGGTTGGAAGGCAGCCTTGCTAGGGGCCTTTAAGATCCTTGCCTAAGACACGGATCACCAGTCTTTCGTCGCTGCTACAGACACCCCCTCCCCCCAAGACCTTTGGGGCATAAGATCTCTTGCGTTGTACTGCAAAATTCACAACTGCAGTCAGACCAGAGGCAGAAGAATTTCAGGTTCACTGGTTGGAAGCAATCTTGGTAGAACATGTCACCACCTTTTTCGGGGGCGGTACAGGTGAGGAAACCGACACACACAGAGGTTAGGAGTGTTGGACAGAGCCAGGTGCCCGGTGAGGGGCAGAGCAGAAGGGCATCCCGGCATCTTGGCTCTCACTCAGCACTCTTTCACAGCACTGTGATCCCCGTGATTGGCGTATTTGGGGCGTGGGGGTGGGATCGTAAGGCATTCATTTCTTTGGGCATAAATTCCCATAGCCACCTAGTGACGTCAAGTCAGAAGAGACCAGAATGCTATTTACAAGGCGGAATCCCAGCCACAGATGGAATTAGCCGGAAGCCAAATAATGCTTCCCAGATCTGCTCACAACGTGGAGAGATCAGGTGACTTGTGCGTTTGGGTTGAGCAGTGTCGGCTTTCGGTTTTCAGTGTGGCTTCTCCACTGCCAGTCATTTTTCCAAAATGCAATCGCTTACTAACAGCAGTCTCCAAATATAGTGGCGCTTAGGCGGGCACGTCGAGGTAGGGGGTGCATCTGACGCAGGCTGGAGGGGCGAGGGAGAGAGGCGAAGTCCAGCCCGGCCCCCGCCTGCGTCAGGGGACCGGGACTGGGGACGAAGGTGGAGCCCAGACCCCTCGCGAGCCGGGAGCAGTAGAGAGGGCGACCTCCCACTGCCTAGAGGCGCCAGCGCTAACGTCCGCTCTATCCGCTCCACGTCTCTATGGAGGCCGAACGGCGGTCTTAGGAGGCGAGCGGGATGAGCAAAGTTAGGAACGGCGGCGGCGGCAACCCTGGGGTCGCGATGCGGATCGGAGGGGTCTGTCCCGGAGGGGATGGCTTCGCTCCGTCGGCGCTGGGGACCCGAGAGCAGTGAGTGTGGCGCGGGCAGGGCACGGGGAGCGGCGCTGCCCTGATTAGGCCCTGGGGTAGGGGACCGAGGGATGGGGCCCCGGGGGTCCCGGAAGGTGGGGAGAGCCTTGGAGACGTGGCGGGAGGAAGCCTAAAGGGCTTCTGACACCAACGTAAGGGATGTTGGAGAGATGGAATCCCGAGGGGCCACCCTTGGGGCCGTCAAGAGGCATTTCAAGGGGTTGATGTCTAAGGGGCTCGTGGGTTTCAGGACGGGCTCAGAAGATCTTGGGGAGACCTTTTAGGGTCTTGAACCTGAGGGGCAGGCTTGGGGAAAGGGCGGGGCTCCCGAATCGGGCTGGTGGGCGAGGGGCGGGGGCAGAACCGCGAGGCCAGGGGGCTGGAAAGGCCAAGGAGACGAGGGTGGGCCTGTGGGAGCCGGAAGGGGTGGGAGTGGAGGATGGCCTGGAGGGAGGCGGGAGAAAGTGATCTGACCTAAAACACTGGCTCAGTCATTATTTGATGAATTACCAGGCGGATGAACGAGTGACTGTTGGGAGAGGTCAGGATGAGCGGTAACTTGAAGAGGTGAGAGGGAGTAGCGATTCCAGAAAGATGAAGTAGGAAGAGGAGGCAAATGATGGGGGAGGGAGAACTGGGCTTAAAAGGAGCAAGAGTGGGGCGGGCCGAGTGGCTCGCTTGGTTAAGAGCTCTCAAGAGTGTGAGCGCCGAGCAACAGGGTCGCCGGTTCGACTCTCGGCCCGAGCTGAGCTGTCCCTATGCTGCCAACAGGTGGCAGGATGGCTCAGGTGAAAAAAAAAAAGTAACTCTTAAACTTAAAACTTAACATTAAAGCAGAGCTTGGCTTTGGTGAGTTTCATTGTGTGTAACCACTGTATTGGTAGAAAATCCTTGTTTCTGCACATTTTAAACTGAAATGTGCTGTATGACACTCTGCCTGGACAATCAAGTTTTGGACTTGTGTTTGGGACTAAGGGATACTTGAATAAATACTTCTTTGTATGTTTTTAGGCTAAAACATAGCATTTTTATGTGTCAGGTATTGTTCTAAGTGCTTTACGAGGTGTGATAAAAAACTACAGTGAATGATGTTTAAGTAGAAAAAAATTTATTGCAGTAAAAGACACATTGCCATTAATCCCCCTCAAAATACTCCCCCTCGCTTCGAACACCCTTATCCCGTCCTTCTTGCCACTTCAGAAGCAGTTCTGGAAGTCCTCTTTCATGAGTGTCTTTCTGAGCGTTTAAGAAACAATGTGCATAGAAAATGGCCCGAGAAATGGGCAAACTGTTTCATCCTCCATCATGACGATGCTTTGTGTCACCATCGCTTCTGGTACGGTCATTTCTGTCAAATAAAACATTACGGTGTGTCCTCGTGTGTCCTCATTCACCAGATCTGGCACCATGCGACTTCGATCTCTTCCCCAAAGTCAAAATGACCGTGAAAAAAATGTTTTCAATTGATTCAGGACATTGAGGCAGCCACGACAGTGCAACTAAAGACATGAAAGAGGACTTCCAGAACTGCTTCAGAAAGTGCCAAGAATGATGGGATAAGTGTGTTCAAAGTGAGGGGGGAGTATTTTGAGGGGGATTGATGGCAATGTGTCTTTTACTGTAATACATTTTTATAAATTTAAACATTCACTGTACTTTGTGACCACACCTCGTACATGTGTAAACTTACTCTGCTTGTTCATATCTTTTATTTTTTCAGCACAAAGATGTTAAAGATTGAGCTATGTGCTCTTATTGATAACACTAATAATGTTTTAAACATCTGTCAAATATCTCTGTAATGTATTATAAATATACATCTAATTCATAATACAGTTTAATTAAAGAATCTTGCTTTGTATTTGATTATTTATATAGCTGGGATGCTGTCTATGAGAGAGAACTGCACACTTTCCAAGAATATGGAGATACGGGAGAAATCTGGTGAGTTAACAAAAAATAGTGGAATTATGAGCCAGAAGATCGTGTGTGTGTGTGTGTGTGTGTCTGTGTGTCTGTGTGTCTGTGTGTCTTTTAAGTGCTTATCCCAAAGAAAGACAGCCTGAAAATCTTGGAAACCTTGGACTGATTCTGGCTTTAGTGGGTAGATTTAAAGAATCTCTCTCTTTTCTCTCGTTTAATGGCTCAGATTTAAATTTGATGATAGTATAGGAAATTACTCTCATCTTATAATTGTGTTTTTTTTAAATAAGCAATAAAATTTTGAGCAATCAATATGTACAAGTGTTAATGCTGATGTGCAGAAACATTAATAAGTAATATACTAACCTTATCTATTCTGTTCTATTCTTGGGTGTGTTTTTTCCCTAAATAATAGTAGAGATGAAGCTTAAGTAGTCACAGATGCTACTTATTACTTTCCAAAAAAGAGGTAATTGAGCATATTGAATAATCTGTTTAAATGGTTTATAGTTGTAACCTTTGCCCAGTAGCCCTCTGTTGTTTGATTAACTGTTTCTCTGTTTCTAATAGGTTTGGAGAAGAGAGTATGAATCGACTAATAAGGTGGATGCAGAAATACAAGATTCCATTGGATGCTTCAGTGCTTGATATTGGAACTGGAAATGGTGTTTTCCTGGTTGAACTTGTTGGTACTTTTAGTATTCATATGTTAGAGCCAAATTTTAAAATGACATTTGAAAAACTTGCAATCGAGGATACTAACCATCTGAATCTAAAGTAGTAAAGCAGTCATACCACTTACTTTGAGAAGTCACATGGTACAAAGGGAAGCTGCATGGATTGTGAGAAAGAACTAAATGAGAAGCCAGGGGATCTGAGTCCTAGTCTTGGCCCCTCCCACTATAGCCTGGACCTTGAGGAAACCCCTAGTTTTTCTGGGCTTCAATTCTTTCCTAAAGATTTTGACTAGGTGATTTCTGTTGGTTTCTTCTAGTTCAAAACTCCAGAAATCTATGTGTATAAAAGGAAGATGACTTTTTGCACTTCCAATAGGACATATATACCTTATCCTTGGTGAGCTTATGGTTTGAAAAGAGCGTTTTGTCCATGGAACTGAGTTTGGGTACAGGTTCTACCACTGGCTATACTATCACTGTTGGGTGCCTGTAATGTGCTATGTACTATGGAGGAAGTATGAGACTGAGCCTTTATCCTAGATGGTTTTACTCTTTTAATTTGTAAGTGTATATACATAACAATAGACTTTATTGAGTGAGTACTATGTGCCAAGCCTCATGCTAGGCCCTGGCAACATGACAATTTTAGATCTTGTGCTTGAGTTGTTCAAAGTATACTAGAGGATGGATTGGCATGTAGATAAACAGTTAAGGGCATAGCCTGATGTGTGCAATAATGGATAGACTGAGTATAGAAAAGGTAGTGATTAGAGGCCGGCCGAGTGGCTCAGTTGGTTAAGAGCTTGCTCTCGAGTGCGAGCGCTGAGCAACAGGGTTGCCAGTTCGATTCCCGGCCTGAGCTGAGCTGTCGCTGAGCTGCCAACAGGTGGCAGGATGGCTCAGCTAAAAAAAAAGAAAAGGTAGAGATTAACTTTGGGGATGAGGGATAGGAGAGGGTCTTAGAGGAGCTAATATCCAAGTTGGGTGGGAATTACAAGAGCAGGGTGTGATGACTGTGAGTGGGGTGTGAAGAGGGAGAGAATTTCAAGCAATGCAAACAGTATCTAAAGGCATGAAGGTTTCAAGCAGTGTAGCATGTACTGGGTCTGTAAATACTTTGGTAAATTAGAATATGAAGTATATGTGTGGGATGGACAGAGATGGTGATTAAGTTAAAGGTAGGAGCCATATCATAGTATGCCATGCCTAAGAGCTTAAGAGTTTACTTTTAGGCTATGCAGAGCCATGAGAATGTGTCAAGCAGTGGAATAAGATTAGAAAAATTTGTAATAAACTTTTTTGAAACATGGAAGTATAGCATATATATTAAAGTGAACAAATCAAAAGAGTGTGGCTCAGTGAGTTATCACAAAGTGCACACACCTATGTAACTATCACCCTGGTTAAGAAGTAGAATATTACAGATGCTCGAAGCTTCCCTTGAACTCCCTGCTAATCCTCTCTGAATTACTCCTGCCTTTTTCTGAAGGTAATCACTATTCACTAGCCCAGGGGTCAGCAAACTGCAGCTCGCGAGCCACATGTGGCTCTTTGGGTACGTTCCGTCTCAAAAGTTTGCTGACCCCTGCACTAGCCAGTAACCACAGGGAGTTTTAACATCATAGATTCATTTGCCTGTTTTTGAATATGTAAGCAGAAGTCTCCATGTTCTTTCTGGTGGCTTTCACTCAGTTCTGTGAGATTCACTTGAGTTGTTACAGTTAGCTGTAGTTCATTTCCATTGCTGTGTAAGATTCCTTTGTACGATTACACCCCAGCTTTGTTTATTCATTCTGTTGTTACCCTGTAGATTCTTTTGGATTGTAATAGTTTTCTTGTAGAGGCGAATGATTTACCTTTGAGACTAATAGTTTAATTGTAGATTCTTTTAGATTTGCTACATATACTTATGTTCACACTGTGAGCAATGGCAGTTGTATTTCTTCCTTTCCAATCCTTTATAACTTTCCCCCATATTACACTGCCTAGGACCTCTGGTAGAGTGTTGAAAAGAAGTGGTGACAGAGGCATCCTTGTGTTTTCTCCCGCTTTCAGAGAATGCTTTCAGAATTTCACTGTTAGGTGTGATGTTAGCTTGTACTCTAAGTCTTGTTTGTTTTGTAGATAGCTCCATTACTAGATTCTTCTTTGCTGGGGGTGGGGG